CGACGGCACATAACAACAACAACAACAACAACAAATATATATATATGTGTATATATATATATATGTATATATATATACACACACGCACACACACACACACACATATACACACACATATAACCTTTGTTTAATTCACTGAAGGACATAAAAGAAAACTTGAATGAATAGTTTCACAAGAAATGTTCCTAGGTAGAAATACTAAGCATTGTTTTTTCACTGTTTTTTCTGTTTTGTTATTAGTTTTGTTTTGTTTTTTATAATATTATAATTTTATAATATTAAACAGATGCAAGTACAGCAATCTCAGTGAAGTAGGAGTTAGGGTGGGGGACTTGAATCTTGTCCATTTGTTCTCCTGAAATACTAAGCATTTTAAACTTCTCAATTCTCAAATTAATTTATAATTTTGGTTTGGCCAATGGAGTACAGGCAGAAGACCAGAGAGCCAGAAGAAAGAGTCAGAGTATTTATTCCCCTAGTACCCTCCACAGCTCTCCTGAAGGCCACAGCTCCTCTCAGGCTCCATCTCTGGAGTTCTGAGGTTCTAGTCAGTACTCCCTTCCCTTGGCACCCCCATTAGTATCAAATGATAAGTTCTGAGTAAAATGAAATCACAAAGCAACATAAGCCCAAAGAGGCTGAGGGCAGCATAAGGATAGTAAGGGGCTCTTGATGAAGAAACACATCTCTTTCCCAGGTTGGCCAAGGACTGGGCTTAGATGTCAACAGCACAGACATCAAACAGCATACTTGATCTCCCATTTCCCTGATCTAATAGATAACACACTCTAAGAAAAAAATAAAGAGTACTGAGGATATGAAAGTACAAGACTTCATACACACTTAACTTTAGACACCTTGAGGTATCTTAAATTTCTCCATTTTTCCATCTTTGTGTTCCCTACAGTCACAATTGCACTCCACCCCCACCCCACACCTCAGGCAGGAAAATCAATGGAAATATTGTTAAATTATAAACCAAATGCTTAATAAGACCCCAGTGTTCTGAACAACTAAGTTTTAGAAAAGCAGAGACAGTTAACTATCTCAAAATGAACAAAAAATGACAAGGTAAGCACATGCTGAGGCGGCACAGTGAAGTACTTGGTAGGGCTCTTCTAGCCATGATCTTTGTGACTCCCACCAGATTACTGGTGGGACTAAGCAAATGTAAGGTTCTTGTGGTCCGCTTAGGGGATTGGATAGCTTACGAGTAATGAAGTAAGGTACATGGCACCATTGTGGGGCTGAGACCATAGAAATAAGGTTTATGAAACCCTAATGTTGGGATTAGTCAGTTTTGTCATTCTGTGAGACTTAAAGTGAGCCCTCCTAGAGGGAGAATGGGTGATTTCACTGCCATCAAGAGAAAAGAGCTGCCAATTGGCACAACAAAATACACAAAAATCTTGTTCCACAACCTACTTTGGTGAGTAGTGACTGGGATCTTAAAAGCTTTCAAGTGGCCATCTAAGATGTAGCTAATGGTCTCCTCTTGTTGGAAGTGAAGAAAACCAGTGGCATTTGGAAACAAACAGCCTCAGGACACAATGGACCTCAAGACCAGAAGAACTAGATGTTTCCCGGCTACCCATGCCAACCACTAGGGAAAGGATCAAAACTGGAGATCCTTAATAGAATGAGAGGAAAAACATGGAACAAAATCTAAAAACACAATAATGACCAGAATTAATGGTTAGATGGAGACTGGTGGAACTCCCAAGACTACAGCCCAGGGATACACTTTAGCTCTAGGATAAAACTCACTTCCAAGGGTTGGTTCTCAGCCCAACAGTAAATAAGACTTATATGCAGAGCACTCAACCCAGGGTGATATACCCAGCTCCTCTACAGAGATACATCCCTTGGAGCAATCGGTCATGGGGCACCAGAAGGGCAATAGTCACATGGAGAAAAAGCTGGACAGACAGGAGTGCATAACTAAGAAGGGCACAGGGAGGTGGGGGGTTACTGGGAAGGGAGAAGAGGAGAGTAGGTCAAGGTTGGGAATGGTGATTAGTGAGTGAAACCAAATGTACACGAAACATTGAACGTAAAACAAATTCTGCTCTGTAAATTTGCACATAAAGCACATAAATAATTAAAGAGAGAGAGAAAGAGAAAGAGAAGAGCTGGAAATGGAATGAAGTTCTTCCTTGGACCCAGGATCCCTGTGCTGGAACTCCTTGGCAGAGAGACAGCAAAGACAACCAGCTGAGACAATAGCAACAACAGAACCAAGAGGCATGACACAGAGCAGTGGGCTTGCCAGCCCATGGAGTGAGAAAGCTGAGTGCCTTTAGGAAGAAGTCTTGCTGGCAGAATGGAGTGCACCTAGGTGCCCCCTTAGCAGCAGACCTAAAAGAACTTTGTAACACCTCCCTAAGTAGGGCAGAGGCCCAAAGAGGCCCAGGGCCAGAAAGGCATGTCTGAAGGCATGGCCAAACAGATGCTGTCCTGATGGAAGAACTGTACCCTAAGCATTCCTGAACCTGAATTGTAACCTGGTGCTTCCCTAATAAACCCCATAACCATGAGTATTGTCTGTGAGTGCTGTGTGGCCATTGCACTGAATTATCAAACCCAGCAGGGAAGTAGTCAGGACTGGGGGAGGATAGTTTGTGTCAGAACTGGCAAAAAGATTCAAAGTGGCAGCATGTCTGGCCTCATAGTAATAAGCCTTAGGGTCCTGAAGGTGATTCTGTTTCCCCCTTGTGATGCTGGAGAAGGTCAGAGGAAGATGTCAGCTCCACATCCTTTTTGCAGCTGGTTTTGAGGAACAGGTTAAAAATAAGCTTCCTCTAAGCACGGGATGCCATATTCTTCTTTAGTATCCCCAAAATGTATCAAACACCTAAAAAGCTCTCAATAAGCAGAGCACCAGATCCAGGAACATGTTACATGTGCCACAATACTGCCAAGCGAAAGGACTACCAAGTCAAAGGGACTGGCTGGGGAGCTAGTTGCCTTCTCCGGACAATGGATGGTCCTCTTGCTGTGTAAAAGTACCATTACAGTCCACCCAATAGAATGACCCAATAGAATGACCTTCCTCCCTGTTCCCATATCATCTCAGACCTCAGAAAGCTCTAGGAATACATTTCATTACTTCAGAAACAAAACAAAACAAAAAAAGATCAAGGTAAACTAAAGTGCTCCTCTAGTCCTCTGGAATTAGAAGTCAGATGCAAAGATGAATGAATATATGAAAAGGTATGGAAAAAAAAAAGTTTCTGCCAATGTGTGGTGAGCCCATGTGTGTTCAGAACAGAAATGTGTTCATAGGGTTTCAATGGCTGATTTTTTAGAAGTAGATTACCAGATCTTTCTTCCAAGATACCTCTAGATGGACCTGAATATCCAACCTTTTGGTTAGCAACTGAGTTCATTATCTGCACTGCCCATTACTACTTAAGGTTAACTGAAAAACAATTTATAAGATTTATTTCCTTCTCTACTAGCAAATGACCATCATTACAAAGAAGATAGCTATGATACATGGGTAGGGACAAAACTAAAATCACCAATTTAAACTAGGTTTTAATGTGCTGTTGTTGTTGTTTAATTAAAGTATACTTCAGTACTTTTAATCATTCAAATTATGCCAGATCAAGAAAATAATTACTTAATAAGTCATTCTATATTATAATCATAGTCATTTCAATTTTGGAAAGTCATATGTAGGCAAGAAGAATGAACAGCAAGATATATTTTCATTAAGAATATGGGGTTTTCATTATAAACCAGGCACTGCAGAAAAAATGCTACAAAGTAGTAGTTATTGTCTTGGGAAACTCCTAAATTACCAATTGTGTAAATGGAAGCTGAAAATAATCAGGTTGTAGACCCTGAGATTCAACCAAAAAGAAAAAAAACCAAACTCACTGCCATCGAGTAGATTCCAACTCATAGTGACCCTCATTGTGTTTCTGAGGCTGTAAATCTTTACAGAAGGAGATCGCACCATTTTTCTTCTGCAGAGCAGCTGATAGCTTTGAACCCCTGACCTTCTGGTTAGCAGCCAAATGCCTTATCCACTATGCCACCAGAGCTCCTTTGAGATTCAACTAACATGTTCTCAAGCCTTGAAGTGATTTGATGATAATGCAGAAAAATCATACATTACTGAACCACTGGAACTTTGACCCACTTATGTGGATCAAAGAAAGAAACTAAAGGAATTATTTTCCTATAATCAGATAGATTGATTTTAATATGTACATACCTAAGATACTGAACAAAACATAAGCCATTTATCGATAATCTTCAAAGAAAAGGAAAAAGGCAAATAAAGTTTCACCAGTGATTCATACAAACACACTTACACACACACACAAAATTAAAATATACATCCTCTCATTCTTCAGTGCTTTATTTATTTATTTTTAATTTTATGTGAACCTTTCACTTAAAAAAAAAAGCAAAAATATCTCTAGTCCCATTACATTTAAATAGATTCAAGTAAAGTTCCTGGGAAGGTTTCCAGCATTAGATTGCTTAAAATTTGGCCATCCATTAAATAAAGCTTTGTCTAACAAAAGTGAAAGAATAACTGATATGGTATCTGTACATTCACTCTGTACAAAGTTCCTTCAGCTCAAAAGCATTACTCAAAGACAAACAACAAATCAGATTACAGCTCTGGAAAATTATATTCTGCCTCCTTCAGCAACACTGCCAGCTCACATCAGCACTGTAAGAGGGCCAACCATCTGCTTCCTAAGGAATTTGTAATCTACCCTGTCCATTAGTTCACAAAATGTTCTACTTTACACACAGGCCCGCCCTTCATTCATTCCACTGCATTCACCTTTCATCTCTATGAGATTTGTTTACAATAAATGTGTAAGTTTCACTTTAACAGCAAAACCAAAAAGAAAAGCCTTCAGCATTACATTTTATAATGAAACAAAACCCAAAATCTGAGTCTACTGAAATAGAACTAAAAGCCATTACAGCAAGAGATTCATTCCTCAGTACCTGGCTTCCTTTCACTTTACCTGCTTCAGTGTACTTCAATCCCACTTTTTCTTCTGTGTCTTTTGTCTTTGGCGGTGGCCAGACAGCTTGGAGTCTGCCAGGAGTCCTGTCGTCCTGCTCAGTGGGGCTCTGGTCTGGCTGTTGAAAAATCAGCCAAAGAAAAGAATAAGTTAAATGAAATGTGGCCAGAGCTAATTAATTACTAGAAAAAAACATGCTGACTCTAATTCTAAAATTAATGTTAATGGCCAGTTGCACATCACTCTCATTCACTGTAACTGAGACAATGTCTTATTACAGTAGGATCCTTTTCTAGAAACGTAAAGTTATCAGTAGAGTGAAAACCAAAAATAACTCAATGCTAAGTAACACTTAAAAGATGATTTTTATCCTGTAACTATAAAAATCACAAATTCACTTTGATCCAGATCCAGACACAGATGTACCACATCCAGATATATTTATAGGAATGTTTATAAATGTATCCCAAACAACCCCAAGATTCATTATAGCATAAGATTAATTTTGCATTTTCCATGAACACTGGTTACAGGCTGAGATATACTTCTCCAAGTACTCTGAGTTTGTAATTTTAAGTTTTTCTTCCTTTCTTTCTTTCCTATAAAATATGAATGAGATAGACTTTGTATTCAAGTTATTTTTCATGGGAGTTGATTTTTATAACAAGGATAATGCTGTATATATTGTGTTTGGTTTAGATTTGTTTGTGTGTATGTGTGGTTTTTGTTGTTGTTGTTTTAGTAACTAAAACCCAAGACACTTTTTTCAAAAGCTTTTCAATTTTTAATGTTTTAACTGAGTATACAAAAGGGAATGAGAATCTTACACTGAATTGAGAGTAAGTAAGAAATTCTATCCATTCATCTTATGAACATTTAGACCCTACTGGATAGGTGTTTGCTAGTCTTTATAAATTACCTGAACCAGTGTTCTTTGAATAATATTAATGACTGTTCTCCTTAATTACCATGTGGTAACTTTATTTAATCCTTACAACCACCATAGCAGGTTATTTTCCTCATTTTGTAGATGAGGAAATTGAGACTCAGAGATGGGCAAAGTCACTCAGCCAGTAAACAGCAGAGTAAGGATTAAAACCCAGATATCACTCTACATGCAAGCCACAATCAGAATGCCTTCCAAACAAGATGTAACATTTCAATCATATCACAAACACATTGTTTTGCCAAATGGCAGACTTTCAAAGGAAAAACAGTTTCCTCGGAGGTATAATTAAGTGGTGAGGAAATCCCTATAAATCTGGATATGGTTCCATATTACACTGCTTCCCCATGCTGCTTCATTTTTATAAGAACATTTATTATTAATGTTTAAACCCAGAGCAGCATTTTCCCTTTCCCACCTGTACTTCTTTACATTTACCCCTCTAGAACAATCCAAAAAAATATGAAGAGGGGGAAAAAAAAATTACTGCTGTGTAACTCCAGACTCCTTACAAGGCCAATTTAATTTCAATATAATCATCTTTCACCCAAAAGAGGGTCACTAACAATAGATAACTGGGATTCGCTTTCACAGAAAACCTGAGATGAAATACAGCAACAGTACATTATATGACAAAATGCAAAACCCAATTCTACATACGCTTTTGGAATCAGAGGGACCCTCCGCTGGCCTTGACTTGGACCTTTCAAACACAGCTCTTAGTGACTCCTTCTCATGTCTCATCTTGCGCTTGAGAGCTTCCAGCTCAGAGGTGTCAGCGGTGGTCCCCTTTCTGGGGGGACGGATGAATAAGGCTTTAAAGACCTCCAGGGCAGTCTCTGGTGGCTTTGGCTTGACCTCTCCACCCTGGGTTTGGGCTTCTCCAGGGCCGCTCTGGCTCTCCTGGTCAGTACTGCAGCCCATCTCTTCTCCCCTTGATGGCTCAGGGTCTTCTGCCTTCAGTTCAGTTTTGGGCACGTCAATGTTGAGCAGTTGAGAGAGTTGCTCCAGGAGAGTGGGAGTGGCCTTCAGATCAGTTGTTTTCTCCCCATTCTTCACTGTCAGCGGGGCTGCCTGCGCTAGGGATTTCTGAACAGGCTGGGTCAATTTGAGCAAAGCCAGGTCCCCATCCTTTGACTTAATCTCTGTGACAGTTTCCCCTCCCTCAACTGTAACCCCCTTCTTCAACACACGAAGCCCACTAAAGAAAGCTGGAAGCTGGAATGTCTTCTCCCCAGGGACTTCTTTTTTGGAAGAGGCACTCTCAGTGTCTCCAACACTAAGGCTCTGGTCTACTACTGCAGGGGGCACTTGGGAACCTTCTCCTCTAGCCTGGCCCTGGCTGGGGATGTGCTCTGTCTGAAGGCCACCATCACTAGGTTCCAACTTGCCCTTTATCTCAGGTGGAGTCCCCCAGGGACCTTCTGCACAGAGCTCTGCGTCACCTGGCTCCCCAGTGGCAATCTTTTCCCTACAATATCCTATTATTTCTTTGGGCTCTTGGAGTGGCTTAGATAAAGCAACAGTTGGGAACTTTGAGCCATGGGCGCTGCTTCCCTCTTCTGGCCCCTGGTCATCATCATCATCATCAGAGTTAGAATCACTGGTGGTGTGGACAAGAGTCCCATGAACCAAAATGACATCTTCTCTGTTAGGACCCAAAGTAGGGAGTAGAAGCTCTTGACTAGGGAGAAGAGTCCCTACTTCTGGTTTTCCCCGACTTCCCTCTGACTCAGTCTCCCCCCTATCAGTCTTCTCATCATTTCCGAGGTCAAGTGGAACCTGAGCCTCTGCCTCCTCGCCATTGCTTGGGTCACCCTGTCCAGATGTGGGATCCAAATCTAAGCTGCGGAATGCTTTCAGCACAGCATCTTCCTCATCAGGCTTCACGGCTTCCAATTTACTCGTAAATCCAAACAGGGACTTCATAGAGAATTTACTCAGGATCGACTGAGCCATTTCAAGTCCAGCTTCAGGTTTTCCAGGTTCCGACACATCACTGCCATTCACAGAATTACCAATGTCCTCCATGTCTCAGCAATGCCCTTGATGGAAATTTTGACTTTTGTTACCTTCCCCTGCTCGCTCACTTTATCCACTCCATCTGCTCTTAACTTACAGGACAGAAAGCAACAGGACCCAGAAGCCAGACTCCTCAGCTGCACAGTGAGCACACTTGGTCGCTTTCAGATCACTGTGCCCTTCTTCCGGTATGAGGGATAATGGTACGCCCAGGGCAACTGTGAAAGGTCTACGGAGCTTTACGGCCAACAGCAGCCGAAGCTGTGCACCTTACTACACACAGACCCGCGAGGCTCCTCATCTAGGACTTCCGTATTTATCCCCGTGGACAAAAGGCTTTTTGTAGTTGGGAAAGTCAGCCTGCCCCTGGTAATCCCAGCCGAGAACTTCACCATGAGCTCCGCCCCAGTGCCTGCCGCTCTCCTGGTTGCTTTCAACTTCCTCATTGGCGAGCAAGTTGAGGCTCCTGAAAGCGCTGAGCCGGCAAGCTGATCCCGACAGTCCCAAGCCCCGCACCTCCCCCCACCAACACCACTACCATAGCCTCCCCCCCCCCCACCCCCGCCCCAGCCCCCAAAGGGAGTGTCAAAAGTGATTCAGCAGAAAATTGCTAAAATACATTTCACCGGCCCTGTCTCTTCTCCATCTGGATCACGTTTTGGCCTTCCAGGCCAAAAGACTAGCAGCACACCCAGATGAACAATTACTTAACAAAGTCCAAAGAAAAGTAAAGAAAGAAATAGATCATCTCAAAATGCCCACAAGTCTCAAAGCAGTTAATTTATTGTCCTTGAAGCTCTGCTTTTTTTTTTTTTTTTTTTAAGTGCTTTCTTCTGATTCCCTGCAGGTTTCATCCGGAATGCAGATTTTAGCTTGGGGCCAAGGGAGGAAAACCAACGCGACTGGTTTCAGATTACTGCTCTTTTAGCTCTGCCCTGGCCGTCTGTGTTCTACAAACAGGTACTTGGGCAAGCATACCCACCACGCCCTGTGTCCACCAGCTACAGGGGTGGCAAAGTCAACAGGCCCAGCTGGACAGGAATGATTACCCTCCACACTCCCTGTCCCAACCTCAGGCCTGTGTTTAGCAGCAAGACTTCTGACTTCCTCAGGAATCCCAGCAGCAGAAGGGCACTCCCGGCCACGTCAGTGTTCCAGTCAACTGAATGAACCCTGGCATGACACAGGGTAACACACAACCTGTGCCTTCTTAGGCCAAGCAATTCATCAAAAGTCCCCATGGACCCACATTCCCTAAAGGGAAGCCATCTAAAAAGCCTCTATCAGTCAGGTCTCTATCACAGACCCAATTTGCCTAAAACAAAAGCAGAACAGACAAAATCACCACCAAACATTACTTCAATGTAGTTTCCATCACTCTGATTACATGCTGGGAACCTAGCAACTAAGGATGTGGAAAAATTGCAGCTCTGTTTCCCAGGGGCGTAGCTGTCTCTTGGGATGGTTTCCTGTCATACCTGAAGATCCCAGAGTTTTTCAAATCCAGTCCAGTCAGCAGGCATTTACTTAGCACCTGGGATAGACAAAGGACTGTTCTGGTTGGGAGAAGAATCAAACTTGCTTAATGGTAATTGTCAGCTCTCTTTGAGCAAAGTGTCAGAAAAATTGTGACCAAGTGTTAAATATGAACAGCAATTTATTCTGCAAAATAGAAGCTGTAGCCCCAATCAGAAATAATCTTTGTTCATCTCTAGTAGGGGATGGCTGTAGGTCACACATTGATGACTTGAACCATGTTCTTCAGCACTAAAAACAATGGAGGTAAGTATTAATTGTGACAAATTCTTATTGCTATAATATATGTCTAGCAATATGTTCAAAAAAGTAACCCTCATACAAATAAACAGGGTACATGTTACACCAATCCCTATGGGAAAGCTAACAGAGAGAGCACCTCCTAGTTCCTGATTTGACCTTGTCTCTAAATGGACACTTTCTTCTTTGCTCCTTATCCTAGCATATTTTGGGATTATTAACTAGGATCTACTTAATCAAAAGGCCATGAGGACACTGCAGGAAAATTCCATGGTGTCATTTCAGTCTCAAAGTGAGCTTCCTATCTAGAGGAAACATCCACCGATGAAATCAGACAACTTCTGCTTCTTCAAGATTGAGGAAAGAAGGAATCA